ATTAGCAGTCACGGCTACATTTAAATACAATAAAAATAAACATAGATAAAATAAATCAATAGAATAATACTGAGGTAGAAAAGATAAAAATGATAAATAGATAGATAAGGTGCAAAGAAGTTTCAACATTTGCTACAGCAGTTTATATTTACAACTTCTTCTTTTTCCTGTTTTACGGTGGTTCCAAGTGCAATCCAGTTTTCATTTTTGTTCCCAGTTCAGTTTAGTTTCACCTGGTGGGTTTGCTCGTAATAATTTGGGGGGTATTTGTCAGGAGCAAGTTCGAAATAGGTTTTACAATACAAGCACATTGACTCATTGACATGTAGACATCCCAGTCCCAATAAATATATGCAAATATATGCCCCATGCTTTCTTGTATATTTTTATATTATGTAGTTATTTTTGTAAGTACACAATTTCCTTTTAGTTAACTATTTATTGTATTGTTTTTATTATTTTACTATTTTGAATTCCCTATAGGGGATCAATAAAGAAAAATCCTATTTTATCTAACTATAATAACCTTGATTCTGAAAATTAAATACATTTCTTGTCTTGCCATACATGTATTTGAAATCTCATAGAATTGATTCTGTAATTCAATTTATACCATGGTCTGGCTGAATATTTAATTCTGATTGGCTCTTTCTCGTTCATTCCAGGTATTTGGAAGGTCCTTCGGCTCAGCTACTCATCGGACAGTTCCGGCCTCTATGTCGGCCTCCCATGTAATTCCTGATAATGGACACCTCGTTGGGCATTATACATATTTCTCATTGTCTTTTCAGTTCTGCCTTGTTTTCGTTAGGTAATAAGCTTTTGTTTAGTTATTGTTGGCAAATGTTCAATAATTATGTGGTAAAGATGATAAGTTACACATTTGTGGCTTCTTATTTCACAGTTTAGTCATCATATTTTCGTTGCACTGGTGTGGCTGCTAGCATTCGCGATAACGCCTGTTAGGAATTAAATCTAATCTGACCCAGGGTTTTGTTCCAGTAAAGGGACCCACCTTCTCAAACACTTTGGAAGCAAACACCACAATCTGTACAAACATGTTTAATTTTCCTTCATCAAGAAACAATCAGTCTGAATCATACAACTGATATTTGTGGTCCACACCTAGAATTTTGCAGATAACCAAGCAATATAAGTTATGGATTTTCTGTTGAGCTGTCCACACTGACCATTGGGGTGGTTTGCTGCGAAATTCTCCTGGCTGTAAGGTATAGTAGTCCAAAAATGATTCATTTTTCATCTATAAATTAAAAACCCGTCACATGTATTCTTACCTTGGATAATTAATTAGTCATTTATTCATGCATGTGTTTTATTCAAAATGGGTGATTTTGATGTGATAAATGGATAATTTCTTTTTTTATAAATTATCTGCTAGATTATATCTCTGCAAGGATGGGGGCTGCTCAGAAGTGTCTGCTATTCCACTTTATTTTGCTGTCTGTCACGTAAGTCTAATATGAAAGATAATAAAAGGTAAAATAGTTTTTTTTAGGTTGAAACATTGTCGCATTGAAGTTATAGTAACATCACAAAATCGTGTGAATTGTTCTCAATCCTAAGTTTTCTGTGCCATGGAAAAGGCCAGTTCTTCAATGACAATGGAAACCTCATACTCCCGGGGTCCTACAATATTCCATGGATGTCAGGCATTCAGGATTTCCGCACCCTCTCTCTCATCACCATCCCTGGCACTCATGCCAGCATGGCCCTGTACGGAGGTCCAGAGACTGAACACCAAGCCTTGTCTCTGATGGATCAGCTCAGGGTCGGCATTCGTTTCCTGGATCTCAAAGTGTTTGGCCTGGGTAACACCCTCTATGTCATGGATGGGTTGGCTTACCAGCACACCACTCTCAAGGGGGTCCTGGACATCGTCCGAGCCTTCCTGTCCGAGTTTAAGACCGAGGCTGTGCTCATTAGAGTGCAACCAGAGTCTTTTGAGAAGAAAACTGTCAATGAGATGGTGCAGAGTCTGATTGGCAATGACCAACATGTCTGGGTGGCTTCTGGAATGCCAAATATGGGTCAGGTGAGGGGGAAAATTGTGTTTTTGCAGAAGAGCACCTTCACACTAGGAATTCCCCTCATAGAAACAACCGTGAAAGGTAGCACAAAGGTTAGTGACGTTAAAGATAAGGACAATAAAATAATCAAACAGCTGAACCAAGCCACCGAAGCTTGTGGAGGTGATAATGCTGTTCTGACCTACTCTAGCGGCACTGGCTTTGGTACTTTCTGGGGAATGTTTCTGACTCCAAAAAGAGTAGCTGAAAAGGTAAACCCATGGCTCAATCAATACTTGAGACAGTTTTACCCTAATCAGCCCAGACCATGCTTTGGTATCATTGCCATGGACTTCCCTGGCATTGACCTCATTCAAACGGTCACCAATTTAAACTGGTGGTAAAGGCTCAGTAATGTGGTTGAACTACTATGAAATTGTTTCTATATCTTTCCCATCACATATCACTGTATACACTGTGATATATCCTGAAATCCAAAATGTAATTTGAAAACTGATACTCTCCTTGTCTGTCAGTTGTATCCTGAACTGTGTAATTTTGGATGCAATTTCACTAAAATGTTCTGACCATAATTATGAGAAAAATAAATTTCCCTTTATTGCCTCCTCATTGATCTGAAGTGTGTGTTGCTCAATGATCTTGCATCCCAGTGACTTTGTATGAAGTTAAATGCTGCTTTAATGTGTTTCTCGCTGTGTTGGAATAAGCACTCAGATCTTTTATCTTAGGTAAAAGTAGCAATACAACAATGGGTGGTATCCAACCTTGGAGCCATACTTACACATACATACATAAGATTTTACAAGGTAATGACCCAAGATATATAAAAAAATATCTAAAGCTAATATCTTAAGGACTCACATGATTATTTAATTAGAGACAAGGCCACAGACATTGTGCTGTGTAAATTTAAAAAATGTAATGGGCAAAATACCTTTTACCATGTATGTTCAGTATGTGTGATGATATAAAGCTTGCTTTGTAGTTTTTTGCGTTATCCTCAACCTGGTATATATATCTTTACACGTCAAATAAATCTAATCAAATCAAATTAATTACAAGTAAAAGTACCACATTCAAAATCTTAAGTAAAAGTATAATCAGCACAGTGTAGTTAAAGTGTAGAGTATACTGCATATTGCTAGTTGAGGTTAAGCTTATCTTAACTGCTTTATATACTGTTGGGTAGTTTTATCCACAAATAAAACTGATCATATCAAACTAATCTATCTATATAGTTATGTTCCACTACTGTGTAAATATAATAAAAACATATCAGTTATGGTATCATAATAACTTTAAAGATATCAATCTTATTACAGCAGCTTACTCGACCTCTAATGAATGTTTTGATAAATTATCAGAAGTTATTTTAAAGTTGATCAGCTAGTTCATTCAACAAAGAGAAAATATAAATCACAGTAACTGCAGTTGTTGTCTTTTAAACAACAAAAATAAAACCTTACAATCTGTTCCCTTAAATAAGTAGATATATGATGGAAATAAGCAGAAACAATACAGCACCATCACTTTAATAGCTGAGCCATCTACCACTAAAACCTATATCTTATGTTTACTGATATGTTTAATCTTGCATGTTTGTAATCAAAAATACGTCTGAAACCAGTGCAACATTTCACAGCCCCCTCCACAGAGAACCTTGTCCTTTACATTTACTTGTTCTTAAAATTTAAGTTTACTGATTAGAATTTAAAGAAAAATCAAACAAGACTTTTTTTTAGGTAAGGGTTAAGCTTCTGCTTCAGGATGAGGGGAGGTACTACTCTGGCTCCTCTTCTAAATATTAAGAACTGCATATTCAATAACAGTTTGAGGTGAAGCTCAACCTGTCCAGCCAAACCATCAGAAACAGGTAAAAGCATTTAAGTTCTAATATCCATATATTTTTTATTTTATAGTATAAAAATGTTTTAAGTTGAGTTGAAAAAGCCTGTTTGTAGTGGTAAAAAGATTTCACCTCAGGGATCATGGGCAGTTTTTTCTCCAAATGCTTATTTAGCCGTTTAGGATGTTTCAAGCATGATTTAAAGAGGATTTCAACTTCTGAAACTGGTCTGTCAGATGTAGATCCTTCACAGAGTTTGTTAGTAGAGCAAATTAGAATTTCTCCTACGGGGCATTAGTAAAGATATATCTTAAAAAGGTAAATTAGTAAACGTGTTCATTTTTCCAAAGCTAATTTTGTCATTTTGCTTTATTTGTTATGACATTAAATATCTCAGGCTATTCTCCAAGGCAAGCAGTAGGTCTAGAGCTGCCTGTCATTTTACATTTTAGCAAGAGAAACAAAGAGACGGAGCAGGAAATGCTTTTGTGGCCTAAATTCACACTGTTACATTGCAGAGTGAGGTCTATAATCTCCTGATAACACATACATTGAACCTCTCTCTCTCTCTCTCTCTCTCTCTCTGTGAAGAACTCATGATGTTCCCTTGATGGTATCCGGTGCTTCACACTCATTTGTTGTACAGGGAAACTCCATATTAGGAAATGTTGGAATGTAAAAAACATCTGCGCTATGTTCATGTCTGTTTCCGTATGTAGGTCAAAAGACAGCTTTATTTATGTCTGTTTTCATGTAGGGAGATATAGTGACAGTTGGGAGCAGAGCAATTCCGATCGAAGGAAATCCCCTTAGTTTTATAGCCTACAGAATGTTTACATGCAACTATAAGTGCCAGACTGGAGGAAAGAGAGGAATTCGGCCAGAAGATGCATCTGACACACTCACTTGTTTTTGTTTAATAAAATCCTTAATCAAAGCAAGAATAGTGGCAGACCTTTTCTTTTTCAGTCATCCACAGACCAACTTTGACAGGCACGGAAATACACCAGACAGGTAAAACTTGTACTGTGTACGATGAGTCCATAATTCCATTTTAAACTGCAGTCTTATGTTCGGCATTTGTAATAAAACATACATGACTTTTGTACAAGTGAAAGTCATGTATTGTCAAATCAAAGAAATATACATTTGATTAGAAAACGGTACCTTCAGTATCAACAGTTAAAATATTAAATTCAGAAAACTGGCCCACTGGCAGCATGACTTTAGTGATGGAAACGTTCATTTTTAGTCATTGTATTCTTATTCTGTTTTCAGCCTCCACAAGTTGGCAGGATGTCATTGACCATGACCAAGGTTGATGGGCTCACTATGGTCAGTGTGACCTCTGACCCCAAAAGCGTTTGGCCTCCTCTCTTCAAGGACCTTTGCAACAACTCACTGTGCTGCTCTGTGTCTCAGAACCTGAGGAGGGTCCAGGGTACGTCTCAGTCAGCACTGGGGGTCAGTGCATGACTATCCATGACTATGAGTAAAGGTTTCGTGTGCTGCATGCAAATTTCTTCAGTTATTCGGCTATGACACCCATTAACTGTTATACAAGTGTTTGCTGTTTATGATGATGATGATGATGATGATGATGATGATGAATGATGTTTTTGGATTCACAGGCTGCGCAGATTATAGTTGGGGTTATCAACATCTACCTCGGGAACATATTAATTATTAACAATGGCAGCTCTTGGCTGTTGTCGGAGTACCAATATCCTCTTTGGTTTGGTGCTTTGGTAAGCAAGATCATTTTTTGTGATTATGTTGGGAGATGTCAGTATACTTCCTGCCTGGTTCAGTTATGTATGCTTTGTTATACTGAGGTTGCCAAATCACTGCAATAGTTAAATGTTGACTTGATAAAAGATAGATAAAACACTGTGCAAACAATCCATCACAGTTTACTTTGACCTGCTCTACCTTAATTGTAGAATTAGGAGTTATTATTGACATTTCAGGTGTGCTCACTTTTGGTTTTAGTGCCAAATAAAGTGGTTTCATTCTTTGTGGTAGTGATTTTTTCCATTCCCAGATCTCAGAAATTAACTTGTATTTCTACAGCCAATAGAAATAGATTACTAAAGCCAGGAAATTAAGACCCAGGTTGAAATAAACCAGAATTATCAATTAGTAAATTATATAAAGAATGTCCTATTGACTATTAATAACGCCATTTTACAAAACATAAACCCTTTATGAAGTATTCCTTATTAAAGAGTAGTAATCAGATTACTGTCACTATCATAAGTTTTGGAGGCATTCAAGACCTCATCCAGATGAGTAGCTTTAGATAATCTGGTGAATAGATATCATATTATAATTGATCTGTCTTTTGGCAGGAGAAGATCTTGCCAAGAGTCTCTTGTTAATTTTACAGACTGCAGTGTTGGGTCACTGGTGGTGCTCACAAATACTGTTATATGTGAATATAACCTAACCCTAACCCTAGTATATGAATTATAATTCAGCAATATTTCAGAAAAAGTGGGGTTAAAATGACATTTTCTTTGTATTTTCTCTAGTTTGTTGCCTTTGGGATAATGAGCATTCTCTCTCAGAAGTACCCCTGCTCATGCATGGTGAGAAGTTTACCAAAATACAATAAAGGCTTTAGGATGCTTGAAATGATCTACAGGTGATATTTTGTATTTAGATAATCATTTAGACCATTCCATAAATAGAAATACCAAATATTTGATGGTTCCACCATCTCATCTGTAAAACAATTTTGAGTTCTAGTGTCTTGATTGTAAACTGAATATTTGAGTTTTTAAATTGTTGATTAAACAAAACAAACAAGAAGATAATTGTATGAATAATAACCAAATATAACAATAAATAAATTAAATAAAGGTTCTGCTGCAAAGCATTACTTTCGTGCTGATCATCGTGTCAACCCTTGAGCTTAGCCTCGTTATCAGCTCTGCTGTTTTGAGCCTCAAGTCTCTGGTGAGATGTAAAAAGGAAGAAAACAAGGTACTGTATGTGAAATGTTTCTATTCTGTTAAAACTTCAGGAGTTCAAGACTAACTGACTGTACGTGCTCTCTTTCTGCAACATGCTGCTTAGTTGTTCAACTTCAGCTGCTTGGTCCCATCAAAAACTAAACTAAAGGAGCATTTATTAGTTACTGTGCAAAAACAGCAGTTTTTATTAGTTTTTATCATCTCTTCTTGTAGGGATATTGTATTGAGTTAACATAACAGTTGAGAATTTGTGATTAAGTGCTTGACATATTTTACATATTTGAGAATATATTTCTTACATATTTACAATATCGCTGCAAGTGTCCTTATCTTTCTTCTAAGATGATGTTTCCCAAACATCCACCTTTGTCCTAAAGTGTTTCACTTAGCCTATGAAATTTGAGTGTCCAGGCTTTTGTGTAAACTTTATTATGACTACATATTTGTGTGTTTTTCTTTTCAGAGCAATGGTCACCCAGACCTCTACAAACTACCCCTGCTGCAGGAGGTTGCCACTATCACCACTTAAAAACAAAAAAAGCTCTATTCATTGAAGAAATATGCGTTTGTGTTATGGCTTCTTCAATTATAATGCGTTTGGGTGCCTTTGTATTTGTCACAATAATGTTGCCTTTAAGGGGCTCTTGTAAATACCAGTTGCAGTGCTATTGTATGATCTGAACCAGCTCCTGTCTTCAACTAAATGCATTTTGCAGGGGGGGGCTGGACACAACCTCTTGTTACGGCCCTGCATATCACTGTTACCTTTTCTTTGTTTTAGGTTGTAAGAATAACATATAAATAAATAAAAAACAAAGCAAAGTATTAACAAGTATCTTTGTTTTTAGCTGAATGATCAGCAAAGGGTTAAGTTTCTTTAAAGCTTCCATATTTGGGGCGGGTGGGTACTTCTGGGAAAAGGCGGAGAGAGGAACAAAGTGTTGGACAAGGAACGTACAGTCAGACAGATTTAACCCAGTATAATATTATAATATTATATTTAACCTAGTACAATCGTTTAGTTTTGCTTCTACTTTAACATACACATAAGGTAAGCCATTATTATATTATTGATTCAGTCCTTATTATGTATACGGTCCTGTACTGCTGCCTATCTGAAGCCATCCATTTACACAATTCAGTGTATGCAGCTTCAGATCTGTGAAATCTTTATTCTACTTGGGCGATTTCACAGTTTTTTCCCACATCGAGACCACATTGGACCAGGTCACCACAACTGGTGGGCAGGATATGGGTCTGAAATGATGGCAGATGTTAGTGAATAGAAAAATGAGATGAAATAAAGGGACAAAGACATATAGACATGAATCTTTTCATGAGAAATGTCTTCATACAGTATGTAGATAAAATGAAGAACAAGCACACTAATGGCTGAAATATGAGACAGAGGCATGGTTCAGGATTTGGCAAAAGTGAGGAACAAAACATGGCAGAAACAGAGAGAGAGGCTGAACATTATTAACAGTAACAGTTATTTATTTTTGAAAGAAGAATTGGAAGAGTAAATTAAACAACTAGCCAAGGTTTTCAAGGTTTTACAAAAAATTCTCCCCTTTTTGCATTTTGACAAGTAGAAACAAATTTTCACAAATTTGAAAGTGGGTTTCAGACAGTGTTAAGGCTTTACCTAAAGCTTTTACAACAGTAAGAGTTGATTTACTCCGAAGAAATGTGGGGTGATTTCTTTTAAATTCAATACAACCCATGTAAAAAAGATGGCACATAACTCTTTTCAATATTCTGCAAAAAATGCTATTAGCTCCTTTTTTGTTTTTCACTCTGTCGAGCTGCTTTCAAGGTCAAGAACAACTTTATACACTGTGTAGTTGTCAGTGACAGCTAATGCAGTGACAGCTTCCGACCACCGGTGGCAGCACCGAGCACATTGCTGCAGAGTGAGCTGCACCGTAGTGCCTGAGCAAAGTACGTAGGGCGTTATTATCGTGGAGTTTCATGTCGTATTTGCTTTAAAGAAATCTCCTACAGTTCGACTTGTTTCTGCTACTTCACGTTTTCCTCCTGGTAGGTCGAGAACAGTCTCATTCATCCGTATAAATGTCTCAAATTGCTCCTTTTTCCACACTGGTCCAGGGCCTGCTTACCCCTGAGGTTGAGCTACAGTCTGTTCCTGTTTATTCCAGTGAAGTTCATGCGGACGCGAACAGTCTTTATTTCAGGCCTGTGTGTGTGCTGCTATGTGTGTGTGTTTTTTCAAAGGTGATGTGAAACAGATTTGTGCAGCTAAAAGCTCAGCTGGAAGTCTGTATTTGTTGACAGAGAGACAAGTTAGAAAAGTTAGGTAACACTGAGCTTCATTATTAAATAATTATTATTATTAAATAACATTACGACCTTCGTTGTGCTTGCAGACCTTGGTAGATACATCTTTTTATTTACAGTAACAGGAGGAAAACTGTGAGCACAGGCTTGACGCCATGATTATGATTTGCATCCTGCACTTTTTATGTCCAACCAGTTTATTTATTTTTATTTTTTAGGTATACCCTAAAACTAATACAGTCTAATACAACAGTCATGCTTTAATCCTACATTTTTGAAGGTGATATTGTTCAGTTTTTGTTGAAACTGTGTCAGGAAGGTGTTGGTTGGGGTTAAACTGTGGTTGATTGTGTGAGTCAACTCTCACTGATGGGATAGAAAAAAAGTAATAGAAATGCCTATTCTTACCAGAAACCCATCAGCCAGCATGCATTTAGATACTCCAACTATTAAATATTGTTGTACTTCCATAAAGTTGGGGGATTCACAAGACACAGAGATAGAAAAGAGTGAAAGCAGCATAATATCCTAACCTTCAGTTCCTTGTATGGGTCAAGCTCTAAAAATTGCTGGATCATACAGTTCCTACTGTATAATGCAGCTTGATTGCATATTTCATTTGATACTTCCTGTTTGGTGAATACCAGCGTCTTTTGAATGCCAAACTTTTGTAATCAGGGCTTTATGTGTAGCACTGCTGCTATAAACTGAAAATCTATTTAGCTTAAATCGCATAACATAAAAAAAGCTGACATGTGGATTAGAAGAAAGACCACATATCAAGATGCAGTAGAAAAGGGCTGCCAAAATCACTTTTTCATCAATAATAATATTTTTTTGTGTATAAATTCGACTCACTTCAACCCCCAAACTATCAACACAAATGCATTTCACATTTTTGAAAGTCAGAGGAGGACATATCACATAGTATTACTTTTAATTAAGATAATATTAATCAAAAATATTACTTAAATGGTGAGGTAATTTATGATTCACTATTTAGTGCCTGTGAATTTCTTTTACATATTTTAACTGCTAGTTGAAACTCGTTTTGAGATTGAAATAATAATGATGAGGTTATAGTACCTTAATGTAAAGATTTAGAAAGTATTTGGTTTAAGGGTAAATATATTACAAGCACTTTTTAACTGGTTATGAAACAGTCTCAATTTAATCCTGATGCATGAAGTTTCACAGGCCTTCTTGATTTTAAGGGTTGTAAGAAAACGTATATCTCAGCATATCATTCATATCACGTATTGTTATTGTTATGCCTTTATTGTAATATAATACGAAATATCCATTAAATATATGTCACTCAGTCAGGGGTTGTCAGTTTACTTAATGGTAGAAAAAGGTTGGGAACGACTGCTCTGTGTGAACTACATAACATCAGTGAGATTGAGAAACACAACCACTTTTGTCCACAGCGGCTGCCATAATAAACACAGCAAGAAAGATCCTTGAAGCTGCTTTAAAGAAACCGCAACCATAACCTGATTAAGTATATTTAAAGTTGATATACTCATTGTCTCTTTCTGTCCACAAGAGCAGGCAAGATGTCTATGACCATGACCAAGGCTGAAGGGGTCACTGTGTTCACTTTGACCTCTGACCCCCAAAGCACTTGTCCTCCACTGTGCCAAATCCTCAAGGGCCTTTGCTACAGCCCCGTGTGCTGCTCTGTGTCTCAGCACTTGAGGAGGATCCAGAGAACTTCTCAGTCAGTGCTGGGGGTGAGTTACTAAGAGAGTTTTTCCGTTAAACTGTCACAGCTTTGTATCTGCCTTCAGATGATGTTCTGTTCTGTTCGGGAAATTCTTCCACTCACTCTGGGAGAGGGTGGCCTAGGTTCTCTGAAGAATTACAAACCCCAGTGTGATGAATCAAACTTCCCTTTACTCATGCCCTTAAACTCAGTCCGATATATTCCTACTTATCTTCCTCTAAACACAGTCATCTCCCACACTGTTTATATATTCACATATATTAAAATATATTTTATTAACATGAGAGAAAGTGCTTCAATATAATGGTATTTTCTGTACCACAGTGCTGCTCGTTAACTTCACTGTAACTGCATTTATACCCTACAGGTGTTCATACTTTATACTGTGTTTCCTCTTCCACAGGCTCTACATATTATGGTTGGGTTGCTCAACATCGGCCTTGCAGCGATCCTCTGTGCTAGTCGTAGTGGCTCGTCGTGGCAAATGGATAGCTCCTTGTTTCCTTTTTGGTTTGGAGGATTGGTAATCAAGCTCAATTCGTATTTTTTTATGTTCTTTTCCTTACAAATCTGTTTATTCTTAAGTTTATCCCAAAGCTTTTTTCCTTCCTTCAGTTTTTGCTACTCAGCTTAAAATGCATAGGCTGGATTTACATCTGTATCATAGCTGAAGCAAATTTTGTGTCGTTAGAAAGTTAAATTAGGATTTAATAATTATGACATGGCTGTAATAAAACAAATTCTAAAAAGATTACGTTACACATTTCCATTTGATTGTCAGTCAGTTCATACAAATATATGAACGCAGCAAGGTTGAATCACTGGACGTTTAAAGATTTTCTTTTTTGTCTTTTCTCTAGTTCATGTTATTTGGTGTCATGAGCATTTTGTCTGAGAAGTATCCCAGTCCATGTCTGGTGAGTTCAGCTTTACAACATCCTCATGTTATCTTTCATCCTCGTCATTGTCATTTGTTATTGTCGTTTTATTTTAAGACAAATAAAATGGAGAAAAATGTGTACTTGTACTTGCACTTGGGCAGAGTTGTAAGGGGTTTCTTAAAACAAGCTTTTTCCACTGCAGGAATATAAATTGATCATAGTAAAAGAGTTATTATTACTATTACTTTATTCTGTCATTGGTGGGATTTTGTGTTTGGTTGTACATAAGCTGACAAGTCTTCTATTGTAGGTCATCCTCAATGTGATTCTGAATCTAGTCGGAGTTTGTTTTGCCATCGCAGCCATCGTACTCTACAGCATGAATATAGCAAACATATGGGTGGGGTGGATGTGTAATGAAGACTATATGTCAGCGTATAGTGTCCGAACTCCATCTCCTCGTGAGGACATCGTACAAGAGAAATGCCTGGAGGGCGCAGCACTGATTCTGGTAAGTGTAGAAAATGTCATCTCAGCAGTCAAAATAGAGTTGTATAACTGATGAGTGGAAGATAAAGGGTTTTAAGCATTTACAGATATTGTCTGAAAAATGTACCATCCTCAGTTGTTTTCTACGGAGCAGTTTGTATCAAGAGTAAATGCAACTGGAGATTTGGTGCTCCCTTGTGGGGACCAAAGAGTTGGTAATAATCAATCCCAATAGATGCATGGTGATTATTAGTAGTTTTCTTTTTGGAACAGGCATTATACACCAGTTATAAACCAGTATAAGCTGCATCAGAAATGCATCCAAGCTAACAAAATGTTAGTTTGTAATTTGTTACAGTCCAAAATAAAAGTCAAGTAGAAATGAAAAAAAAAGGTTTGAAATAAATTGGTCCAGTAAGACAAAATCCTACTATAATACATATAAATAATTCAGACAACTCACGTTTGAAATGTTTATTACAGCAGTATAGCATATTTAGATTTTGGCGTCTAGGCTCTGACCTCATCACTCCCCGCAGATATGTTTACATAGAGATATTGGGGAGTGATGAGCAAATACCTTAAACCCCCAGCCAGAGCCTACAGGTGGATGCTGGGGTGGTGGCAGGGCAACAGCAGCATTGACAGAGCATAGGGAGAGCTGGGAAATGTTGCGCTTGGTTAGTGATTATGGAGTGTGAGGTATATCATATGTGTATAGCAGCGCAGCTCGAGTTGACTGCCTGAACTAGCTTGCAGGCTTCTCTCCATAAAACAAACACGTGTTTAAAGTTAACCCTTTTTGGTGACCCACCAGATGCTTCTGAGGAGCATCAATGCTGTGCTGATTGTCCTGTCAGTCCTGGAGCTCTGTGTCACCATCAGCTCTGCTGTGTTGGGGATCAAGGCTCTGAGTAGCAGTGAGAAGAAAGAAAACAAGGTAGAGTCTGCAGAATCATTGAGTTACCCCAGAAAAGGTGGACTGAATACAAACACTCTTGCTAAATGTTTATGTAATGAACCTATGGTCGTAATCTCACCTCTAACTTTAAATGATCTCCTTATTTCCACATCAGTCAGAACAAGAAGTCGGTGCATTTTTTTCATCTTAGCTGGTTTCTGCCAATTACAGTTCATATCAATTAGAGATAGGATTAAAGCAATAGTTTGACATTTTGGAAAAGAAGTGCTGGTTGGTGGATTTTGTTCCTTTTTGGGGGAGGCAGGCAGGCTAGCTGTTACTCACTGTTTTAAGTCTTTATGCTAAACTAATCACCTGTTGGCTGCAGCTTCACATTTACTGTGCAAGCACAAAAGTGGAATTCATCTTCTCATCTGATGCTCTCCAAAATGTTGAACCATTCCTTTGAAAAATCTTTGCATAGACAAATGATGTGCTATTCTTCAAGATTTGAATATATCTGCACCTTTTTATGCGCTTTTCTGATATTATTTCTTTCTTCTAGAGTACTGATGACCCAGAGATCTACAAACCACTACTGGAGGAAGTTACCAGTAACCCTACAGCTTAAATGAAAATAAAAAAAGCTTCACTGTAATATGTTTCTATAATCCTGTGCATTTACACCAATGACTGGATGCACTCTTACGTCAATGACTATAACACATAATGCAATATACGGTATAGTCTCTGCTTAATGTTCGGTCTTTTCCATCCACTGTTAATTAAAACATTTGCGCTTGGCTATATTCTACACTATATTATATATGCTGCTGTCCATTTCATTCTTTGTTAATGTTTTTATAAAATGGTTCTGGTTTGATTATGATTTTCTATCGGGTAATGTGCCTTAGAGTCAGTATGTTTGTTGGTAAAACAAAGCCGTTTTAAAAAAAAGGCATAAAAACAATTTACTATTGTACACACACAGTTGTTTGTATTTCTGTGATCAGTTTAATTACTAGTAGTAAAAAGGTTTGTATTGGTTGGGCTCTTGTTATATATATGTATTTTCGTGTGTGTTTTTAACTTAGAATGAATGAAATTAAATCCATCCATTGCAATTAAAATATTTCACACTGTTTAATTTCACGTCAGCAGAGCCGTAGCTATCAGTTTTACAGGCTGATTCTAATTTGATATAATATTTTACTGTTTTAGCCACAATATATAAATCAAAATGAAAGGAATTATTTCTCCACTTGGACCAATTCCCTGGTGGTTAGAGAACGTCCTGGAAACGGCCTCTATAAATAATTGTAGTGAGATAAGGTTTCCACCTTCAACGTGGAAAAATATGGGACACTTTAGCAGCGGCCTCATTTCATGGGGAACACAAATTAAGTGGGGGGTCTTCCCCCCATGAGATTATGAGTGTCACTCAAACTGTGACACTTACTTTCCTGCATTCTGGTGAAATGTTAAACACCAATTAGTCTTTTTTATGCATCAGTTTAAAATTACTCTGAACATGAATGTAAAGGAAATAAAGGATCAAAACATCAAATCATAGACATGGGAAAAACGTTTGTCAATATAAAATAAATGACTTTTTAGTGTGAAACTGATCAGAACAGCTGTCCTGGATGTAGGCACTGAAATGAAGATCAACCTGTTCTAAAGTGAGGGAAATGTGAAGAAACAAAAAAAGAAATACTTTATCTAATATATATACATATATATATATATATCTTATACTGTATAGAGGCATGTAATTTTAACCTTGAGTTAACCTTGAGTCCAGCTCTTTTCAGGAAAGATGAGGTAGCCTAGCCCTGGGAACAACTGTACAGTTCTGGGGGTTTCATGAATTTACTGATTGCACTCAGCGTCCTCTGCTCAGGCACTGCTCTGATGTGGTAGTCCTCTGCTGAATGCTGTTTCAGTCCAAAGTTACAAATATCTGCAAATAAGGACCTATTTGTCCTATGTGCCCCACCCCTCTGGTTTTCTTTCTTTCTTATAACATATCTATTACATATATGTGTGTATGTATACATAAACGGTTGAGTTTGGAGAGGTTTGTTTTGTATCAAATATTGAATATAAAAATAAAACTTGATGATATATTGAATATTTTGTGGACCTCCAAATCTCTGGCCATGAACCTACATGCCACTGACACATTTCTTTTATTTAGGGTGTAAGCATATCATATTAATAAAAATCAAAGCAGAGTATTCACAAATCTTTGTCCTGAATGCAAGGGTTAAGTTTCTTTATTGGTTCCCAATGGAGGGGAGGTACTTCTGAGAACAAGTGGGCACTAGTTCCTGTTCTCCTACGCCAAACAACTGTGCAATAAACATACAGGCAGCCAGCCAGGTTTTGTTGAGTGGAGTACATTTGTCAAGCTTTTGCTCCTACTCTAACAGACACAAAGAGGTAAGTCTGCTTGATTCATATGATACTGGTAACCTATTAATGCCTAATTAAATTCTAGCCAATTCCCATTATACATGGTCCTTCCCTGCTACCTACATTTAAGTGAACACATCCATTTAAGCCATTTAGTTCTCAGAACCTGGCTTGAAAGTATGTGACAAAAGAGGAGACCATACATAGTCTGTAAATCATGCATAAATGTTTTTTTATTAAACAATACAATGTGGGTCTGCCAGAGCCCAGCTTACACGTGTGTGTCTCAGCTCCAACTTCCTGTAATGTTTCAAGTTTAACTTCACTGGAGGATAGGTGAACTTCCTGGCAACTTATCAGGAGAAAAAAGTGGGTCAGGCAGCTTTAAAACAAACAAAAAACAATACTTATTATTATTATATTATTATATATATTATTTTTGTTAAAATCCAAGATGGCGCATAACTTCCTCAATGAGTGCTCCGAAGCATTTGGAGCAGCCCTGCCCCTAAACTCAAATTCAAGTTCTTTATTGTCTTCTACGCCATCTGTCGTCTCTGATAACCCTGATGAGCTTCGGAAGCTCCCGCAGAGCCATCAGACATTGTACACCTTTTTCCACAGGCAGTGCAGCACTCCTCATACTGGCTAAACCGCCATTGTGTGCATAACTTGTGGAGTGCAAAGGTTAGTTTATGGTAGTTTAAGGTTTAAAAAAAACAGCAACAGTAACACGATAAAGCATATTTAAAGTTGATATACTCTTTTATCTTTTTCAGTCCACAAGAGCAGGCACGATGTCTGTGACCATAGCCAAGGCTGATGGGGCCACTGTGCTCACTTTGACCTCTGATCCCCAAAGCACTTGTCCTCCACTGTGCCAAATCCTCAAGGGCCTTTGCTACAGCCCCGTGGGCTGTTCTGTGTCTCAGCACTTGAGGAGGATCCAGAGAACTTCTCAGTCAGTGCTGGGGGTGAGTTACGACCATACGTTGAAGTTGCTCTGTGAGACTCTAGAAGAGGTCACTGCTCTGTACCTGCCTTCAGATAATGTTCATGTTTAGGAAACTTGCAGTTAGAAAAACACCATGAAACTATATAGTGGTCATATATATAATGGTATTTTCCACAGTTAACCACAGTTAACTTCACTGTAACTGTCAACTGCATTTATACTGTACATGTATTTGTGGTTCATACTGTGTTTCCTTCTCCACAGGCCCTTCATATTATGGTTGGATTGCTCAACATCGGCCTTGGAGTGATCCTTGGTACCAGTGATGGTGGCTTGTGGTGGAGATCGGACCGTAGCTATCCTTATTGGTTAGGAGGACTGGTAAGCAAGCTAATGATATATTTGTTTATTAATGTTCTTTTTCCTTGCAAAATGGACATCTGTTAAATCCCAATGCTATCCCAAAGCTCAAGTGAAGAAAAATACATATTTATTGGGACTGTAAATCTGTCACACAATTATTCTCATAAGAGACTGTCTGGATACTCACTGAGTTCACTTTTAAGTGTCCAGAGAGTTCCCAAGAACATCCAAAGGACTGGTATCAGGTCTGATCAAGCTAATTTTAATGAATTGGTATCAGCTAAAATAAAGCACATCAAGATTGCATCCTTTCTTATCTGTACTTTCTTACCTGCAAATGTTTCACTTGTAGATGCAAGTGAAAATTGAAATGAGAATGTGAAAATATTGTGTGAATTTGGGTGAACCAGTATGAGTCTGAAGTCTCTTGATGATTTAGTTTTTTGTCTTTTCTTTAGTTCATATTATTTGGTGTCATGAGCATTTTGTCTGAGAAGTATCCCAGTCCATGTCTGGTGAGTTCAGCCTTACGACATCCTCATGTTATATTTCATGGCATTGTCATTTGTTATTGTTGTTTTAGTGTAGTTTACCAATACACACACACACACACACACACTGTCTGACATGTAATATGTATTTTCATTGAAGAGGATAGAATATAGGTTCAGTGTTTTGCTACAAAGCAGGTACTTTATGCTGTTAATTTGTTTGTGTTTGGTTGTACACAAATTGACATGTCTTGTATTTTAGGTCACCCTCAATGTGATTCTGAATCTAGCCGGAGTTGGTTTTGCCATTACAGCCATCGTACGCTACAGCATCAATATAGCACATATATACATATGGTCGCCATGTCGTTATTACGGATCCTATACGCAAGCTCCAGATCTTCGTGATGACCTCGTAAAGGAGAAATGCTTGGAGGGCGAAGCACTGACTCTGGTTAGTGTGGAAAATGTAATCAGCAGTCAACATACAAGTCGTGTAACTGATTAGTGGAAGATGGAGGGCTTTAAGTATTTTACAGATGTTGTCTTAAAAGTTACTATCCATTGATTATGAAGAACCTCTCAAAATGAAATGAAGATTTTAAAGTTAACACTTTTTTGTGATCCACCAGATGCTTCTGAGGAGCATCAATGCTTTGCTGATTGTCCTGTCAGTCCTGGAGCTCTGTGTCACCTTCAGCTCTGCTGTGTTGGGGATCAAGGCTCTGAGGAGCAGTGAGAAGAAAGAAAACAAGGTAGAGTCTGCAGAATCCTTCAGTTACCCCAGAAATGGTGGACTGAATACAAACACTCTTGCTAAATGTTTATGTAATTTTTGGATGATCCTGAAATTTAGAATTAGCTTAAATCAAAAAGAAAAAAACATGGATGTATTCCTCCAGGAAACAGTTCACTTCATAAGTGTATGTGCGTATGTGCTATTCTTCAAGATTTGAATATATCTGCACCTTTTTATGTTCTTTCTTGGCATTATTTTTCTCTTTTAGAGCACTGATGACCCAGAAAACTACAAAGCACTGCTGGAGGAAGTCACCAGTAACCATGCAGTCTAAACAAAATCTCTGCTTTAAGATAATACACTGCTGTAATCATGTACATTCACACTTGACTGTATGCAGTTATTTACACAGATTATCCTTTTCCTACAAGGGTTGCTTAAAGAAACATTTGCACTTATTAATATAATGTATTTTTGGTAATAATCTGCACTAAATTGCTGCTGTCCATTTCATTCTCTGTTTATGTTTTTAATTGTCCCTATTTATAAGTATCATCCTGTTATTTTACCTGAAATAGAATTAATATGTGCTGTTAGTCCCGAGTTACTTTAATGGCAATAATAAGTCTTAACCAGTGGTGGAAATAACTAAGTACACTTATTCAAGTGCTGAAGTAGAGTTTTGAATAACCTTCACTACATTTTCAATTACTAATGTAAATGTGGAACGGGTTGATTAGAAATATGAACTCAAACGTAACATTTCGAAATGACTTTCTGACCTTCCTCATAAGTGCAGTGTTGATTTTTTTTTTTTTTACGACTGATGAAGAAGAATCTGACCTTCCGAGCAGTTGTCATGGCTACATAACATTTTGCATTGTGGGTCCTATTGTTCATATTTCTCTGGCTGAGCACTCACAGGCACTTGTCATCATCAACCTCAGGTTTTTGTGTCTGGTGTCATATGTATTCTGGCTAGGAATTTCCTGTTTGCTCTTTGGTAAACTGCACAATCAGTTCATGTAAATATAATGTACTTCTGACTTTAATTCTAAAAGACTGCTTAATAAAAACAGTAAATCCAAACTTAAAATCCTTTAATGACTCTTTTTTTTGTGTGTTGTTGTTGTTGGTGTTGTGTTAACAATAGCGACGTCTGTTAGATTTGGTTTGGACAGGGATATGGAATAATAAATCATCCATCTTTGCTCACTTCATCTCAGAAACTACATGTTATGAACTTAAAATGTGAAATTATTGGTATTGGCCGTGAGAAGCAGATAATTATCAGTTATCGTATTGTCTGAAATAAATCCATACCGTGCATCCCTAAATATAACAATATAGATTATAACTATTCCACTGCTCTGTATTACCTTTAATGCTTCTCCAACAATTTTGTCTGACAGCTGTCCCCACACCACTGATTACTTGCTTTTTGTGGGCTTTTATTCTGACACAAAATGGTCTTACAGGAAGTAACATTTTAGCTGTTGCCAAAGGAACTGAGGCTGCTGGCAGAAGAACCACACTGTAGCAATTGCAGCATCGAATCAATAACAGGTGAGTTCTCATGTGTTCTAGTGTGAACTTTATAAGGAGACAAAAGTGGGTGTTGTGGATATTTTTTAATGGTAAAGTTTACTAAAAATGAATAATGTTGTATTATTTTTTGTGTTGTCTGTGTGAGAGAGGTGAGTGGGATGTCTGGGTAAATGTTTTAGATTAAAAACCAGTAAGCAACGACGAAACTTTAAGAATTTTCTGAGATAGTGACGTTTAGCATTAAAAAAACTACACAAAAAGACACCCACCTTCCAGATGATAAAACTTAATTTTTTGTATATCTTTGCAAAAGGCTCAGTAGATTCGTATTGCGCTTAATTTTAATGTCATAAAAGTACACCATATTTGTGACAAATACTTGAAATAAATACTATCTAATGTAACTGAGGCAGCCCCCTACAGAAAAGGCAGGTATAAAACTGGAACAAACAAGGCTTTTATTTTGGCAGCTAGGCTCTGCAGCATATTTTAGACTTACTGAATAAAGAACTTCAAGCAAGGGACAATAAGCATAATCTTTCTGCCTTAAAGCACAACCACAACCGTAATACATCTGCATATTTGTATTTGATAGGGTTGTTGGTCGATACCAGTGACTATTTACTTTGCCAGCTGCTGAGGCTTTAACACATTCATACACTGACCCATTGTCCTACAAACACTAACCCTCTCTCTCAAACACAAAATAAAATGAGCGACTTAAGAGCTTCAACCTCAAGTCAAAGGTACCATTCAAGAGGACAGCCTTGGTCAAGAGGAGAGGAGACACGTTCCCACTGCTGAACCAGAAGAAAAATATCTCATTTTATGTTTCAGGTGTGTGAAGATGCCCAAACCTGTCATCCAAGAAAAGGGAGTGACCGTCATCTCTGTGGCAGCTGACCATAAGAGCATGTTTCTACCGCTGTGCCAAATCCTGAAGGCGCTTTGCCACAGTCCGTGCTTCTTGTTGTTCCAAGGGCCCGTGCAGACTAGCGCCACTACTGCTATTGGGGTGAGAGGAGTTCAAATAAATGTACTCACATACGGATATTAACTGGCGGTCTTACAATGTTCAGTATAGACGATGAGATTTGATTGTTTTGAATCTTTAACAGACTATACAGATCATGGTGGGCCTGTTCAACATTGGACTCGGGCCAGGACGAACAAGCACATATCCTGGGGATTTGACCAGCTTGGGAGCTGCTTACTGGCTGGGTGCTGTGGTAAAATAAAATTGTTGTATTTACCATGAGAGCATATATACTGTTATATTGTCTAATAGCTCTTGTTTAATAGGTGTGTTATGTTACAGTTAGTGCCAAAACCTTTACACATGCAGCGAGGTCCGCACAGATTAAAATTTTTGTGAGAGGATTCCCTAACAATCATATTGTTGAGGGACACAAGAGAGTAAACATAATTCCTGATGATATTATAAACAAATACAACAGTTTCTGCGTCATTGTCACTAATATGAACTCTCTGCTGACCTCTCATCAGTTTATTGTAACTGGAATCATGTCAATTCTGGCTGGACAGTTCCCTTCATCCTGCTTGGTAAGACTGACTAACTAAAGGACATTTAGCATTTAACATTTGCATTGTACTGTAAATATGATAACTTCTGTCTTCTATCTTAGGACTTGTAACTGGTGGTATTTTTCCTCTCAGGTGGGCTTCACTGTGTTTATGAACATTGTTGGAGCTATCTTCGCCATTACTGGTATTGTGCTGTATGCCATAGACCTGACAGGTGCCTCTCTCCTCTGGATTTGTGACCGCAGCAGAAACAATGCTGATCATGCTGACAACTGCAGAAATGTGGCGCTCCTAGCCCAGGTGATCATACTCCTAAATCTGAACTGGAAAACACAATTATTATCAGACGGTATAAGGCGTGCAGTCAGTTGTCCAACTTTTTGATTTGAAACTATTTGACACACAAGAATCTCTGCACTGAATTGCAAGTATTTGTCCAAATATTAGTTTAAATGAACTGAATTAAATTTAAAAAATATTTTCATTTCTCATCCATCAGAAATTGTTAACATTCATGGACTCCACACTGATTGCGATGGCTGCTCTTCAGCTCTGTGTCAGCATTAGGTTTGCTATTCTGGGCATCAGGGCTTTGACCAGTGAAATTAAAAAGGAAGAGGTATGAACCAAGAAGAGCACACATGTACACATGAATTAGAAGACAGCTGGTTTATTATGAAGGTGAAACAAAGTATTAGTAGTACCAGCAGTGAAAGCAGTTGGAGTAGCAACAGTAGTAGCATTAGGAATAACAGGAATAGTTATTAGTGTAAGGATAAAAGTAGTAGCTTGCTATACTTGCAGTGTCAAATTCAGTAAAGAGTCACATGTAAAATTCTCAACTTTATCCTGTTTTTGCTTTATTAGAGTTCATTAAACTTGTTTCCTGTGCAAACAGGGTAGCGAAGATGTTGAAGATCAGCGGCCACTGTTGAAGGACGTGCTCCTGACCAGTCCTGGTGCTTAAAATCATTTAAACTTAACACATGGATGCATGACTATGAATTACCTGCACGTCATTGTAATACTACTAATAATGTATGCTTTTACAAACAGTACACATGCTGAGAGTAATCAAAACTGATTTGTATCAAAGACACTACCATTTTATTTTCCAATCTGTGTGTTTTTTTTTTCTAAAATAAACTTGCTTGACTAAAAACATGGAAATTCAGTTGTATTTTTTCTTTGATGAAGTTTCGTTCACTTCAGTCGTACTGGGATGACTGGATAGCTTAAAATCATAGCAGATAAAACCAAAACTAAGAGCACAGATGTTACTAAAGTTAACTGAAAATGTTGGTGTTTGTAGATGTTTTAGGTGTACTGATTAAGCTTTTGGGATAGTTTCAGTAAAGAGGAGAACCAACCCACACAATATGATGAATGTACATTATTAAACACACAGAGCAGTCACAGACACTGTGTGGATCAAGAATCACTATTGCAATTTTGATATTAGAGATACCCAAACTAAGGAAATAATAAGGTTTAAGAATTTTTCGACATGGCAACTGTGAGTTTAAAATGCATGTTGAGAAAATATGCTTTACGTCTGGAAGTGGTATGGCTCGTTAGTCTGCATGTTTTGACTTCATACAGTATAACATAAAATACATCTTTTAATATTTAGTTTTTGATTGTACTTTTCAAAGTGAAGTTTAAAATGTTTCTTATGCTGATTTCTCTATTTTCTAGTGTTGTTTTGTAAACTAATTTGCAGACAGTTGTCATTTTCAGCAAATCCACAATATAGATAAACATGACAAGACATAACGTTAAAATTGTGGTTTGAATATTGTATAAAGATTCAATTTTGAAGATAAAATTAGAAACAATATATATTTGTTACATATTTTTGTGTCCCTATTAAAATAAAGTGAGGAATTTAATAAAAGTTAAAAATGTTTTTAATTGGTATCTGATCCTTTATAATAAAAGTTAAAAGTACAATGATTATCACCAGTAATGTTTGTAAGGATTCTTGGCTTGTGGTTGTACCCCAATATTTGAGAGAAGTATTGTGAATATACTTTTGATACTGATCACAGACAATAAATATATATAATTTACATATAATTACTTATTGTTGCTAATTTTACTCTAGCACAGAAGTTAGCTAGGCTACTTCTTTAGCTACTACTTATTACTGTTTTTCATGCAAAATTAATTTTGAGAAAAGATCATTTCGGTTGATGTCGCTTTTATTTTGAAGAAATCAAACGGGCGACAGGAAGTCCGTTTTTTCAGAATTTTTTATTTTTTTTTTGCTGCTACCTGAACCTGAACACAGACTGCCGCAGTTTCAGGTAGTCTTTATCCACGAACCAGGTGAGTTCTCTGCACACAAAAAAACACACAATTCATAATAATATGAACTTGAAAGAGACAATCTGTTTTTTGAGCTCTGAACTTAGTGATATTGGTGTTTTGTTCATCATGTTTTAATGGTCTGCAAGAGAGAGGTGAGTAATGGTTTATATTTATACATATATATGTATAAATATAAAGCTTTGTTTATGTATTTATGTCATTTTACCATTTTGAACAGTTTTTATTTGTTAGTGTGTGTGTGTGTATTGCTGATTTCTGGGAACTTCCTCCCTCCACATGACAAAACCTGTTTGTGAAATCTTAAACCTGCATAACTATTATTTAACACCCAACATGATCTATGCCACATTGCTTGTGAGAACACCTTATCACAGGTGTTAAATACCTCAAATATGTGCTGGTTGACTGGACGCTATTCACTGAGTCCACAACTTTCTCTTGTCTTTATTTCCACAAGACATGCAGGAATCACACCTCAGGGAGGGACTTAAATGGAAAACTGAAGCAAATAATGTCCTGCTTTGTCAACTAAAGCCTGTAAACCCCAAATATTCAGTTTACAGTAACAAGAAACAGAAAAAAGCAACAAATCATCACATTTGAGAAGTTGGAGCGAGGGAATTTTTGGGCATTTTTGCTTATGAAGTGAATATAGCAATTCATTATTAAAATTACCTGACTAGACCCCTACCTTATGCAAATGAGGAACAGACAACATGATGCCCTGTCTTTTGAAAAGCACCACAGCACTACCAGAATGCATTGCACAGCTGCTTACATACATTAGGCGACCCGGGATGAGAATGTGCTGGTTTGATAGGCAGCGGCACAGTTTTAAAGAAGGGGGTAGTAAGTAAACTGTACATGATTAATAGTTGCATATTTTATTTAGCGTAATGAACACAAAATAAACAACTTAAAATAGTCTTATACATATGTAATATATTCATATCTGCTATTAGCCTAATTTTGTTTAATTTTGTCTCTTTGTGGTGGTTTTGTGATACCTATCTGCCACTGGGTTGTTGATAGGGTTACCAGAGACTCTAGAGATTTGATTAAAACATTGCTTTTCATTATTATTTTATATATCTTAGTGTTAATCTCTGTATTGTACCTGTGTTACATACTTCTACATAAATGTATAGATTATGTACAGAATGTTAAATTTTTTGTAAGGTTTTAGTTTTAGTTCAGTTAAATTATACTGTTTTGTTTGTATTTATGTTTTTAAAACTTTAATTATTATCTAGCTTTTTTGAGTTTTCTTATTATTTGTTTTGTGATTTACTTGGCTGCTGTTACTGCAATTTCCCAATGGGATTAACAAAGAACTGTATTCATGTATCCAGCCATCCATCCCAAAACTTCCATGACATGTTGCAGGTGTGAGAGAGATGTCCGTCACTGTTGTCAAAGACGAGGGAGTGACTGTGGTCACTGTGACGTCTGACAGTAAGAGCATGTTACCACCACTGTGCCAAATCCTCAAGAGTCTTTGCTACAGTCCAGTGTGCTGCTCAGTGTACAAGGGGCTGATGCAGACCAATGCCATTTCAGCTCTTGGGGTGAGATACATTGAAATGTGTGTTCATATGCAGTATTAAGTGGTGATCTTAAGATGTCTTAAATTGTTTTAAATCTTTAACAGACTGTACAGATCATGGTGGGCCTGTTCAACATTGGACTTGGGCCAGGACGGATAAGCCGACATCCTGATGATTTTAATAATTTGGGGACTGCTTACTGGCTGGGTGGTGTGGTAAATAATTTTGTTGCATTAATATTAGCTTTAGATCAGATTTATTTAATTTGTTTAACTTTGCTATAGAGTATAATGGCAACAACAGGAAGTTTTCTGATGTTTTTGTAGTGCTTTACCAACCAGATACAACTACCAGAATGGGCAGAACAGGCTTTTCTAAATGGAGAACGACATTTACTGATTCTAGAAAGAACATTTCTTTATGAGAAATACATCATGGAAATATTACTTATATAGCACAAGTGAAATACAATATAACAAATCTTAATGAATTTGACTGAGCTGTCTCCCCTCTTTAGTACATCGCAGCTGGAATTGTGTCGCTTCTTGCCGACCGGTTCCCCTCTCTTTGCTCGGTAAGTAAAGACTAAAGGCCCTTTCATGCAAGCACCCTGGTCCCACTTTTATGGGAAAGTCTTAAGGCTTAAGACTAAACCTTTAAAACAATAATGTCTTTCCTTTCAGGTGGGCTTCGCTGTGTTTGTGAACATAATTGGATCCATTTTTGCCATTGTTGGCATTGTGCTGTATGGCATGGACCTGGGAGACAGAGATGTCTACAGGATGTGTAACTGGAGCAGTGGGTACATGAGCAATATTTCCACTAATAATGACAACTGCAGATACGTGGCTTACATTTACCAGGTAAGCATACTTTTAAAGGATAACGCTTGTTTTATGCTATATGTTTCTTACTGTCAACAAATCCCATGAAAACGCCTTTATGTTCCTACTGATTAGATAATCATTTAAATCCAGTACACAAATACATAGTTCAATTTTGTTTTTAAAGACTCAGCAATTTCTTAAAACAGCTGGGCACTGTAGATTTTAGTTATTCAAAGAAGAATTAATAGTGGATGCAGCAGGATGGTGACTCAAAATAAACTACAGTGTGTGTGTTCAAAGTAATGAAGCAACATGCTATTGCAGTAGTTCCCAACCACTGCCTTATTGGATAAATGGAGCTCTATGGCACAGAGGAATAGGATTACCAGGCTTTTGATACACACATTAATTAATCTTTGTTTTTGGGGTGGGTTTTATTGACAATGACAAAAACATTGCAATTTTCCAGCCCTGTCCTGTAATGTTAAACTTGAAAACACAATACAGTATAGCATTCAGTACAGTCTTAACAATGTAACTTAAAAGTCAGTTAGGAATCAGTGTAAATCATTACTACTTACATTTTAAACTTGTTTAGTTTAGTTTTAAAGTTTAGTTTTAAATCTCTTTCAAATTGAATTTGTTCTTCCTTTTTTCTGTCTTTCTTATTTGTTCTCCTCATCAGCGTTTGTTGACAGCCATGGACATTACTATGATCGTCCTGGCTGTTCTCCAGCTGTGTGTCTGCATTAGCTTTGCTATTCTGGGCATCAAGGCTCTGCTCGGTAGGAAGAACCGCGAGGTATGAACCAAGGCAAACACACAAGATCACAATCAAATTGGGGGTTAATAGTACTTATTAGTAGTATTTCTAGTATAGCTGCTGGACTAGCAATATCAGTAGCATTAGTGGTAGAGGTTGTGGTATTAGGATGGATTACTGTTTGTAGTGATTGTAAAACATGAGTAACATTAAAAGTAAAACTTTGTTGTGTTGTTATTTTATCAAATTTTACTTTGTATTGTGTCAACAGGGCAGCAGAGATGTTGAGATTTACGAGCCAGTGTTGAAGGAAGTCCTCATGACCGGTCCTGGAGCTTAAAATTAGTTAATCCAAACATAAAGATCTATGAATAAGCAACACATTTTTTGTTTCCTTTATCAGCTGAAAATAATCAAAACTGCTTTTATTACAAAGACACTATCATTTTATGCAAAAGAGAAAAATATATCTGTAGTCTGGCACAATGTGATTGGGAATGTTTAATGTTTTTTATTTCTGTCATCTTCTGAATGTTTTAAAGTAAACTTGCTTGAATAAAAAGAGGAAAATGTACAAAGGCAATTTTACTTCATTGGGGAGGTGGATATCTCAAAATCTTGGCAGATAAAAGCAAATATATTCTTTCACTTGTTAATGAACAAAATGTGTTAATTTTGGCTAAATGTGCAGCTCATTTCATTTATTCTCTTCTCATCTCTGTTAGGGACTATACTGAAAGGTTCTCAAAGATACATGGCTGTGAATGATCAAATGCAATTTTTCTGTGCACCTCACAAAAAAAATCTATTGATTTCCATTTTATTGGGGAGGTAGTTGTCTCAAAACCTCTGCAAATCCACCTGTCTGAATGAATGCATATCTCTAGGGGTCCGTGGAAAATATGTATATATGTATAACCTGTAATGACTCTGTGTGCCACTAGGTGGTGTTCAGTCTCTTAAATTCACACACATTGTAAATGCCTACCTACTGAACTGTGGGTTTTTTCAAATATGTGACTGTACTGTACACTGTTTACTTATTTGAGAAGGAAACAGTGATAGCAGTGATACTGTACAAACATATACCATCTCCAAGCTGGACATTATGCAATATAAATAGTGGCTTAATTAATATTATTTATAAAGGGTTTTAATTCCTGAAATTGAACATTGCATATTAGGTTAGGAAATAATAAATACAGTGACACTGGTGAATAAAAGAAATACAAAAATCTTATTTTTTTAACAGATATCTGTCCATATTTTCAGCCTTTAAACTTTGGTGATAAGCTTGGGTAACATGAAAGGAATGTTGGAGGAGGATGTGTTCAGACACTGACAAAGCATGGAACATAATGAAAGACAAATATTATTATAGGATTTGCAACTAATTCAAAAAGTGTGGGAAAATAATAGAGAAGACTGGCTCATGGCAGGCTTAAACAAAATAAAAATGTTTCCTTAAACTAAGAGTTATCAGTAGTTTGTTATGGCTGAGAGAAGGATTATCTGAGTCTGTCTGATGGCATATTGTTCTCTTTGTTCAACTATTTCTCATTTCTTATTTGTATTTCTATCACAATTATTTGTTTTTATACTTATTTAACCACCAACCTGATGTGCATGGATGGACAGACATGACAGAGTTGAATCATTGCTTTGAGTTTCTGATTAAGCAAGCCTTGATGTGGTTAAAAAAAAAATCTACAGATCATTTATAGAATTTTCATGAATTATTCAAAGTTTTAGTGACAATGTAAGTCAATCTGAGGTTACTGTAGATGTTAGTATTGTAAAAGATGAATTTAGATACAGTAGTATTCTGAACTGTGATTCAAAATAACAACCAGCCAGCTATACAATGTGACATGTTGTTTTGGTTCAGTTCGTCCAGATGTCTTTTTAAAGATGCGTTTATAGCTCTCAAATCCAAATTCCCTCCCAGAAACCTTGACAACTGTGTGTGGTTTTAAAGTAGTGACCCTGAGCTGAGAGGAAATTGTGGGATTCTGGGCAGCCATTGGGCATTAAAATTAAAACAAAATGTTTCGTGTGTTTAACCTACTGCAACACATGTCACTGTAAGCTATTTTTTAATGCAGAGTCAGACTTCTTTATTTTAGACCCATAAATATCCGAACATGTCAGAGACACCTGTCCTGTTTCTGTGCAGCCTACAATATTCTTCTTATTAAAATTACAGCAGGTGCCTCGAATGTACTTGTTGATTCATGTTGAATTCCTGTTGCACAATACAGTTACAAACACACAGAGTGGCTTAAGGCAGAGCCACAGGTATGTCTGTGTTTTTCATGTAGTATCAATCCTGAATGATGAGGTGTAATATGTCTACGTAATCTGTATTTAAAGGTACAGCAGGATTGAAAACTGATATGACTCACAAATTGTTTGACATTGTTTGACAGACTGACACTGGGCAACAACTACACGTATAATTTCTGATTTGTTTGCGCCAGTCAGGTCTGTAAACGTGTGAAAAGGGCAAAAATCCACGGTTGCCCTACCCTTATTACCACCACTAAGGTGTGCTTGAGCAGGCCCTTAACTTCCAACTTCCTTGCTGAAAAAATGTGAAATTCATGTTTTCATACATGAAATGTGATATTTACAGTTGCAATATAACATATTATTTTATATATATGTGAACTAATTGAAAACAACTGAACAGAAATGTTGATTAAAACTGATATTACATAAAAAAAAGTTTTCACGTGATCAATTTCATATTCCTGCAGACTAAAACAGTTCATTCTAAGGTAACAAAAACACAACCATTCCTATTTTCAGGGGATTATAATGTAAACATATCTATGAATATTATATTCCATTTATGCCGATAGATCCTCCTAAATGTCACACACCTGCCACCTTCTAGTAACACTTCCTCTTTTCTAACCTTTTGGTTTGCTGCCTAATGGGAAAGAAACCAGTCAGGAGTTATTTGAAATAGTAAAGAGGTGGAGTGGAGATGTCTGAAAGCTTTGCATACTTTGTGCTGCTGTCATTGTTTGTTATTATATTGCAAAACAGATATTGGAGTCATTGCTTGTACATTCTTTAAAAGGCAAGAGGTATCAAAGGATCTTAAAGATGCCCCAGGTTACATTTAGAAAAAAATACCAGACTTACAATGACTGTGATACCACCTCTGAAGCTCCATAGTAGAGAGTTTTCTTTGACACGTAGTCAGATAGCAGTGCCACATAAGCTTGTTGGGTCTTGCCCAGACATTGGTATGTGAGGAGGGAGGACAGAGGATCACGAGTGAGGAAGGGGACCAAGAGGTTCTGGGCGAAAACATGGTGTTTGAGGAAAGAGATTATAAATCAGTTAGTTTGTGGCTTTAGAGGTTTTTTTCTGGGTAAATTCAGTGGATGCATTAGCACAAGTCATAATATTTTTCATTAATAAGGCATTGACACTAATCAAAAACTTTAAACCTGAATCAACTGATTCTTAGCCACAAGAGAGAAGTGCAGCAAACTCCAAACACAACATGGACATATTATCACCTATAGACCAAAACAATGAGCTGAAAAACGCTAAAATGCTGCTTTAGACATTATACATGGCAATTTGACCCACTGTTAATATAAAGACATTAAACAGTGCAGCTTTAAGTGTAGTCACTTTTAAAAATATATATAAAAATAAAACAACTTATTAGCAACATGTAATCCATGTAGCGCATAACAAAGTGCATCAGTTTTAAGACTCTATTTTACATAAGATATCAGGAAAATCTACAAAACACTTTTCAGATGATGCAGATAATGCACATACTTTGGAAAGCATTTTACAGCAGTTGTTGGTTTAGGTTGCTCTTCATACTGGAATCCTCTCTGATGTGTAATGTAATGTAATTGGAAACTCTTTGAGATTATAAACAACCAATAAAACAATTATGCATGAATACAGCATTTAATAACACAGTAAAAAGTTACCAATAATTTGGTAAAACAATCATCCCTACCACGGCTAGAATGCTGACTAGAAAGATGATGTTTGGATGTATTCTGCCGTAGCTGATCCACAAAGAAGTCCTTCAAAAACTCAGCTCTACTTGGGAACATGTCAGCAACTGACTAACTTCATTGGGCTTTCTTTGAAGTCTCTTTCACTTTGTTCAGCATCAGCAGACTATTTCAGGTTCCTCATGATGATCAAAAAACCCAACATATTTGTTTCCTTAAAGTAAGCAAGCAAGTAAGTCTTAAAGTGAGCTGCATTCAGAGCCCTGAGCAGATGATGCAGAAAATTAGCCCCTCCCACAGCCCATCTGACCTGCACCATCTGATTAAAATATGTGACCTTTTTTTTAAAAACCAAAATGACTGCTTTTCCCACTGAAACTGAATTAAGGCAGAGTTGACGGTTTCACTTAGATAACGGGTGGCAGTACAATGTATTTCTGCAAGGCGGGCGAATCTTTTCGTTGCCACGTGATGTTTTTCTGCGTTCCTGAGATCACCTGATGGGTCGCGCTCAATGCAGGGCTGTGTGGCCAAATCATATTCATGGAAGAGTAATTCTCGTCTGATTAAAAACATCACTTCCCCTATTTAACAGTTTTATGTCAGTCACCCCTTTAACCCACCTGGGCAGAGATAGAAACCCGGCCTGTAGCAGCCTTGCTATATAGAGATAGAACAGAGGGGTCATGCATAAATTTGAACATTTCTGTTGGTTTTATTGCTTTATTTTTATATATCTCCAACGTTACTCCTAAAGAGAGGTCTTATTTATTTTGTAGTACCATACATTTCGATACATATCAGTTAAAATCCTCATTGGCTGTTTTTTTTCTCCTAATTTATGTGTTTTTATGTTAGCTTTTCTTATTTGTTGTTTCTTTTTTGTAGATATATTTGTTTTGAACAAGTTAGAGTCTTTGGTTGAGGATTATTTTCCTTATGAATCCCATTGACTCCATTACAATTCATTCAAGGTCATAGTCAAGGTCAATGTGTATAATTATGGAAATGTAAAACTTTACTGTTTACTGTGTCATTTTTGGCCACAGTAGGCAGCTGTTTTAATAGAAAAAGCTCTAATAAACCCACTGCACCAGACATACACAGTAAGCAGGTAGATAGTGAACATAGTCGAGCATTTAACAGTCCCTCAGGAGTTGGTTGAGACCCAAACAGAGCTACAAGAGAATGAATATTAAATTCTGGCGGACACAAACACGACTCAATAAATGCTAATGTTTCTCCGTATTGGCTGGATGTGTAAATATGCAACTGTTTGCTAAAAAGTTCACCATATCAACTTAAAAGCCAAGTTTGAAATATATCCAGAATATTCTAAAATGTCTTCTTATATTGCCGGTGTTTGTCAATGTTTGTCAGTGGTGATCATTTTCAGGCTCATTTTCTGTAAGTTGCTGATGAAGCAGTGTGTAGGGCTCAGCTCACTGAGCATTGATGTAAGTGGGTCACTTGCCAGTGGAAATTTGGAAAGCACTTGTGAGAGATTTGCTTCGTTAAGAAGCAAAGGGAAAGTTTAAATTCCTTCAGTCTCAGTCTTGTTCCATTGGCAAACAGGTATCCAGACAGCAGGGCATGTCTCTTCTACAAGCCAGATTTGGTAATTGGAGTATTTTTCCTGACATCAAAAGACTGTCTGAGCCCTCCAAATTTAAGACAAAGTTCCTGCTGTTATTGCAGAATTTCTTGTATTACTTATGCTGGCACTGGCTAAAATCCCATCTCTCTTTTGGGTTCCTTTCCTCCTGTCATATAAGCTTTAGCTCCATGTCATTGTGCATGTTATTGTACTTTTGAGGAGGATGAAAAGTTATCACAGTGGGATTTTTCTCTCTTTGGATTCTGTTGAGACTTGCCTGTGATAAAAGGCTGTATAAATAAATCCTTAACCTCAAACATGAACTCATGTAGGAGAAGATGCAGATACAGAGAGGACTACAGCACCCTTTTGGCTCAACAACCTCATAAACAAAGCTAAACAACTCGTGACTACTTGTCAAAGGTTACAGTACATATTTCTATGAGCTGTGAGCTTTCAGAGTGAGTTTTACCCTCTCAGAGTGGTTCATTTGAATATTTTCTAGAGGCCTGAAAAAGTAAAACTGCAGTATTTCACAAGGGAAGATAAAAATCAAGATAAACCTGTTATTTTTTGTCCTTTTCTACCTTGTTACCTGTCTTGTGACCCTTCAGGTTGATCTTTGTAGCTGTTAGGCAATGCAGACCCTGAGGCTGGGGTTGGTTTGGGAACCAGTGCAGCAGACTAACATCTCCAGGTCTCATGACCGGCATCATACCTCCATACAGGTAACAAGTGCCTTTGATTTTAGACATGATAAAAATCTAAATATTACTGTTTTGAATCTGTTTATTTAATTCACTTTACTGTATATTATTACTGTATTATACAGTAACATGCATGTTGATCCAGCGCCTTTAGTGACTTTTCTTTACTCAGAATTTCCTTCTGTTTATGTCCAAATCCCAAAAATCTCAATAAAAACACATTTAGACAACAATCTTTGACACACTTGTTTTCCTTTGCACTTGTTCATTTCTTTTGAGGCACTTGACCCACCAGTGTGATGTACTGCAAGGGACATGAGTCTTTCTAAGCCGAAGATAGAAAAGCCACAACCACATAATTATAGCACACTATGGGTGTTTCCAAACAGGCTAACCATAATATCCTTTTTCTCTTTTTTACTAAGCTGTACATTTTTGCCTCAGCACAGTTGGGTGTAACCTTGATGTTACCCTGCTCATTGACATCAGTGGGGTGGAATTTGATATAGTACTTGTGTCTTTTCTCTTCTTCTGGTAGTTAAACAAATCTCAGCTGCTTGTGACATTTGACCTTAATGTGTGTGGTGAAAACTCCCCCTTGCAAGTTACAGAGTGGCCATGTTATACTGCTTATACTGGAATGCAGTGGGACCAACAGGTAAAGAGTCATCCTAGAACCCCGAAGGCCCAGATTTAAGACTCTCTGAGTGAGAGCATGAACCTTTACTGATGTGCTTTTGACTGTGACCAAATAATTGTCATTTTCCCTTAAGAGTCAAGTATTTAAGGAAAATATAAAACAGCAGCACTTTAATTTAAGTTGTCCTATTTAGCATTTATAAGCAGTATATAAGTATTTAATAAATAGTTTATAATTTACAATATAATATAGTATAATAGTAATTAATGTAGTTGTCAACAACTATAATTCCTCCATGGTAATATAGTCAAACACAGTCATAATAGTATAACATATGCATATTCATAGGAGAAGCTATAATTTCAAAATACTGCACATTAATAAAATGTTAAAATATCTCTCACTACATCATAGTATAGTGTGTTATAAACCTTTCATTAAATGTTAATACATTGCTTATGAATGCTTAAAGTTTGTGTAGACTTTCTAAATAAAAACAAACTGCACATATTAGTAACTATATGTTGTACATTTTCATCTTTTGATAAACACAAATAAATACATACATACTAATACTGGGCTAATTCCAGGTGTTTCAGTGAGTGTGCGTCTTTTGACCTCTTACACAGCTTTAGTCTCATTCTAGTTTTATTAGCAAATCTATCTATCTAGCAAATATTAAACACACAACACAATTATGACAATACAATTTGAATTCTCCAAAAAAGAGATCAGTCCTGTAACCAGACAGTCAGAGGTTTGTGTCTTATATAAACCACACAAACTGCAAGTCATTCACAAAAATACACAAACAAATGATGTATGAGTTTATTTGGAAGATTTATTACATTCATTGCTTTGGTGTACCAACAGGATGTTGAATCTGTGACACAGACAACCCAAATATGCTGTATGGAAATACTAATAATATAGCAGGAGTGCAACATAAACGCTTTGTATCAAGTTTACAGTAAATGTGGGGCATATTTTGGACATAAACTATTCTAAAAATGTATTAAATTTGGGTAATGACATATAGAAACAAAAAGGAAACAGATTTGTGTACAATAATGCACAAAATATTTACAACAAACATCAAAACAGGTCAGTGGTCTAAAAGATTACAAACAGAATCTTTCTGCAGAGTCGACATATGTTAGTTCTCATAACGTAGTGTAAATGTCATGGTCAGATTATACAAATTTTGATTAACATCTCCATAATAAAAAAACATCTGGACTCCCAATCCCATGATTGCCCACAATTCAACTAACAGTTAATTCCTACTTAAAGGTAAATCCTCTACATATAAGAGTACAAAGTAAATGAAGTTGAAGGATTTGAGCAAGTACAACTTTCCAGTTTGTGTTGCACACCCAAACAGGTAAAGACACAAGAATAGCTATGCTAGGCATCTACATGTAAACAAAGTGTTGCTGTCACTACGCCTCGGCATGTTCATGGCAGGGCGTGTAAATAAAGTTTCATGGGCAGCAGTTCACTACAGCAAGTGCTGTTTGAGGCCTTGGCCTTGTGCTTTCCTGTGTTTTGTTCGAACTGTACAGCAGCCAGTAACAAGGTTTACCATTTTTGTCACACCAGTACAAAAATGTGAAATCAAAATGAAAGCTTTAAGGCTTCTGTTACATTCTCTGTAAATGTCATGAGAAATTTTCTGTCATGGCTTAGGTATATATGTCCTCAACAGGGCGAGGTCCCCGTTTATCTCTAAGAGCATTGCTTAATCTTCGTATGACACCCGGATTCTAAATCAACAGCTTTCCCAGCATATCCTCCTGTAACAAAACAACCAAGTCCCCCTTAAATTAATAGTGACAGAAGAAGATGCAGTTGTAGATCTTATACGAGAATTACTCTGCAACTGTCAGCTTCACTAATTACATAGCAAAACCACTTAGATATAATACAGCATAAACCAAGGCTAAGCTCTTCCATCCATTCTTAAAATTAAACAAAGTACAGCTGCATGTGATCAAAAAGGTAATTATTATAAGTTAAAGAATCTAGTTCATGTTGTGGAAGTCTGCACACAAGACATTTATTGGTAATCTGTCTATCCTGGAAGAGGGGACTGTCCTCTGTTGCTCTTCCTGAGGCTTCTTCTATTTTTATCCCCAATTTAAGTGTTTTTTGTGGAGTTCTTCCATATCTGAATCGAGATTCATATTTGGCATATTTGTGATTGGTCATGTTGGACTATATAAATAAAACTGACTTGACTTAATGCATCCCCACATCTGCAAGAAACTCACAGTGAACGTACTCAGAAGAAGCGAATAATTCAGTGAAAGGAGGCTATGGATTGAAATTAGGGCACATACTGTGTAATATTCCACTGCTAAGGCCAAGTAGAGAGGCAGCATTAGACTCTATGATTGTCTGTGTAACAAAGTGGCCTACAAACATAGAATGACTTTTGAGTGTTTTTTCAGTGTCTACAACTTCAAGCTGAGTGAGCGCAGACGTAGAAGTTTTTGTGCTCGTCCCAGTAGTGGAGATCATCTGCGAAGCTCCAGGAGCAGGCCAGGTCTTTGCTGGTTTTCACCGTGTGGACCACGCAGTCGCCGGGCAACTTCTCAAAGAGGAGCTCTGCTACGCCTGGCACCGTGACTTTCTTCTGACTCTGGATCAGCTGCTGGATGTGATTCTTATCCACAGGCTCAGGCGAGGAGCTGTAGGACACCCAGACGTTAAGATTCTCATCTGATGAGAGGACCTGGAAGCGACTCTTCCCTGTCGGGCAGTGGAAATCCTTCTTGTTGGCGAACAGGCCTGTAGGGGACTTGAATATGCGCACAGACCAGCCCACCCAGTCATACTTCTTCTTTAATGTCTCTATGATAGCATCTGCTAGCTGCTGGTTGGTGAAGTCCGGCCGATCTCTCACCAGTCGACGGGAATCCAACTCAGCCTGTTTGGGGAAGCTGACGATGCAGTCTTCAATGACAACGTTCATTTTATCCTGGACAACCTTCATCTTCTCACCCCAGTCTTGCAGAAGCGCGTCCTCCTCATCATATCCCTTCAGAGCGGCGTGGCCCAACAGCGCGATGAGCCCGATACAGAAGAGCTTCTTCAGCCTGGCACAGAAGTCCTCCACCGGCCGGCGACTTTTCTCCTCGTAGTTCAGGGTGATCTCAAGCACAGATTCCCCAGAGAAGTTATCCCCCGTCACAGCATTGTAGAGGGTGATAAGGTTTTTGTCACCTCCGGTCTTGGCAAAATGCTCCAGGAAAAGCTTCTTCTTGACCTCCCGGAACTTGGGTTTGGCGTTGAGGATGTCCATGTACTTCCTGAACTGGTTAGTGATGTTCTCCTCCAGCGGGAAATACACGGCATCCAATCCACTCTTCTTGATCTCATCGTTGATCCTCTGAATCTCCTCTGAGACCACCTCCAGACGCTCTCGCACCTTCTGAAACTGCTCCTTCATGAACGCAGCCTCTTTGCTCTCTACATTGTCCAGAGCCAGTTTAACAATTGGAGCAGCGATGGAGAAAACAGGGAAAAGGTCGCCGGCGATACTAGCCACCACTTCAGCTCCCTGTTCAAACACTTCCATCACGGTCTCCACCATATCCTTCTTGTCTGCTACAATCTTCTGTAGCTGGTTTGCCATGTTTGCTGATGTCTTTCAGACTGATTCTAACAAGGGAAAAATGTTGAATGGATAAAAGTCAAAATTTGTCCAAGTACACCTCTTATAAGAACAAAGTAAAAATACAGACTTGTCAACAAAAATGAGGAAGAAAGTATCAGTCATTATACTGACATAAACAAATGTTGGGTTTTCTTGGTTTACTTACAGCTCTTTTCCAGTGTTGTTGGACTGTGGCCTTCACCCTTGCTCCTCGTACAACACGGCAAAAACTGATAAGGAAAGAGAGAAACAGCCAAGTGAGCTTCACTGCTGGCCACACCCAGTGAGCAATGAGTCAACAATGCAAAGGGAATTCAGCAGTGATGGAAACAACTGTCTGTGTGTTATTTGTGTGTTTAGTGTTGGGAAATAAA